AAAGAAAGAAAGAAAGAAAGAAAGAAAGAAAGAAAGAAGAAGTAGAAAAAGAAAAGAGGGAGACAAAGAAAAAGAAAGAATGAACGAATACATGAATGAGAGAGAAAGAAAGAGAATTACGAAGATCCGACATTTCGCGTCTCCTAATTCCTAATTTTTATCTCATTCTCAATATATGTAATTAAAAAAAGAAGAAAGCCTGAAAGTGCTCGATGTTTTGCACATGGATGAATGATGACATCGTCATCAAAATTAATCAATCCACATCAACATTAACCGAACACAGCTGGTTGGACCGACGCAATTCAAGGGAAAATCATTTTGAGGTCAAGTTTCTATCAAAATTAATCAATCCATTGATTATTATTCTTCGACTGTAAAATTAATGGTTATCTTAAAAAGATTGGAAATGTCCTGCATAACAAAGGAGAAATATTGAATCAAATAGATAAGTTTGTTGGTAGTTTATAGTTTCGTATTCCTAGCATTTCACGGCATTTCTAGGGTTAATCATGCACTGATCGAGCTCGGCTTTTCACGTCTGATGATTCAGCATGTTTTCTTAAACTCTCGATAATACATGACGTTGAAATGGTTTTCCCTGCATCGAGCATTTGACTGGATGGTTTTCTTATTTTGAGCCCAATTTTTGTTGCTAGAATTTACTGTATTTTTAATGCTACGAATTTAACTGGTTTATGCATCTAAACTGTGAATTCATCTTCGTTTTTGGGTTTATCTCATCATATACTACATGTTCTACATATCTAGCATTAAACTGGTTTCTCACGTATCAGGCATTTGAGTGTTTTTTTTTTTTAACTAACCACTTGCAACACCTGAGTTATAAAAATTAGTTTTTGTACACCATATTGTATAGTTTTTTGCCTTGTATATCAGTAAAAAAACCTTTTCTCTTCATCTTTTCATCGTTGCTTTCCTTTAGAGCATTTAACAAGCTTCCTGCTACTTTTCTTATCAGCTTTCTCTGCGCATGTTTTTTCCGGCTTCTAAATGCAGAACTCCTCTTTTCTTCCTTGTTTTTGATTGTCAGCGCGCTGGTTATTTTTACCCCGGACTGATTTAGACCAGGATTTCAATTCATAAGGAAGCCCGTTTTTTTTTTCAATCATCGATGTTGAATATTAATGTCCTTGTGAGTGCGTACATCAAAAGTTCATCTTCACTTTCGATGACTCTAATTGCAAATGATTCAGTGTAGAAACTACTAGATGAAACTAACGACTAGTGTATTCGTTTTGATGGAATTTTCATTAAGAGATCGATCAGAGAAAATGTAATCTTCAATAATGTCAAAAATTAGTCTATGTGTGGTTTGTACTTCTAATAAATTAATTCGATTCTTTATGACTCACAAGGTATGTTTATTGCGATAGTAATTGGTAATCATTTTTTGCATTTAGGGCTCAGGCGATTTGAAATTCAGGGAAAAGAAAAGAAAAAACGATAAAATAAACAAGGATTTTTTGCGTTTTGAAAGCCGAAATCTTTGCTTGAACATTTAAAACTATATTCTTTGAAAGGGTTGAAAATCAGACAAAATGGAAAGAAAAACGAAAGAAATAAATCAATAAACATTTTCAAGCAGTTAAAGACAAACAAACAACAAGAAGGAAGCTTTTCAAAAATTATCTTCCGCTTTAAAGATAAGCCGTAAAATGCTTCCAAGAATGGCCTGCCGGTTTGAGATGATGTAGCCTTGAAGCTTTTAACCTTTCATGATCATCTGGTATATCATAATTGATTAAGAAAAAAAGGGTCGTTTTGACTGATCGTAGCCCGAGGTGTTGGCTCTAGCTGTTTCTTCTAGATCTTCTTCTATTAATAATAATAATAATAATAATAATAATAATAATAATAATAATAGTAATAATAA